CTGCTCAAAGAGTCACATCTCCTGACTTACTGATTTATTTCAATGCATTTCGGCACCTCTACTCAAATCTTTTCAACTAAAATTGTGCCTGTCATTAGACACAAGGGGGTACCCTTCCCAACTCCATGAAATAGCACTAATTATATTTTATTTTGTTAAAAGTTTGAGAGAGTCATCGCGAGTGGGGAACAGGGAGAGAGACAGAGACAGGGAATCCCAAGCAGGCTCTGTGCTGCCAGTGCAGAACCCGATTCCAGGATTGAACTCATGAAACCGCAAGATCATGACCTGAACCGAAACCAAGAGGTAGATGCTTAACCTACCGAGCAACCAGGTGCTCCACTAACAGCATTTTAAATCAAATATGTATAACTCCTATTTCTATCTACTTATTAATGGTAGTTTTTCAATATGCACTCTGGATCATCCTACAGATCATTAGGGGATTTTTCTGAACCACACTTCTTGTGCACTCCCAACCCAAAGCTCAGGACAGTGAAAGTTGCTTTGAAATCTTAAGAATTCAGGGACCAAGCGAGGCATCAGAATAATACTGCCACCACCAGAAAATACACCAGAAAATTTAAGCGCAGGTGAAAAAATCTACATGCCAGGAACCAGACTAATGCTTTATCTTCGCTGTTTTATCTAATCCTCGTCACAAAGGGCATTACTTAGCAGAGAGATTTATTATCTCTGGTTTATAAATGAGGAGCCTGAGAGTAAGTTAAGGGTGTAAGCTTACAAAGGTCACAGGTGACACAGCTGGAACCATCAAACTTAGGCTGACTCCAAAGCGCATACTCCTTACCACATTGTAAAGCTTCCCTCAAGGCAGAAGTCACTGATAGGTCCCTGCCTGGCCCCGGGGTAGAAGCCAAAGTTAAATTTCCCCTAAGAGCAGTTCTAAAATATTTGAAAGGCAAACTGTTATCTCAAATAGAGTCAATCTAGAAAAAGGAGCAAAAAGTAAATGTAGGGGGAAGCACATCATTCTACAGGGAATCTATCCCAAGGGAAGTGTCCTTCTCTCCTACTCCCATCTTTGATAAAAACAACATCATTTCCATTGTGTTGGCTTTTGGGCACATACTTTATTGCACTGTATTATTCATACATCCATTTCCCAAACAGAGACATATTTATTCATCTTTTTAATCTTCATAATCCTCAGGACCTACCACATAGTAGGCATCAAGAAATATTTGATCTTCAAGGCATGGCCATTCATGCATCCCTAATCCTTCTCATGGTATGAAGAAGGTTGATATTCAGGCCTCACATGTATATGCTGAGGCATATAATTCCCAATGAGCTCTTTTTCTAAAGGTGAGCAACAGTTTGTGTTCATTTTCAAAATCCAGATGATAATCAGGTGAGTGTGTCAGGTGGTTTGGTCATAACTGCTTTGCTCTTGTTTTCATTTTTATGGAGTATGAAATGACCTTTAAAAGACAAATACCAAACTATATTCACCTGCATACCACTCACTGCTTTCTCCCTTCATTTTCTCTGTCTTTATGAAAGCAAAGGGTTTATTTTCACCACTTGTAAGAGCCCTGATCCACTGAACAAGTTTTGATCCTACAAAGGCTTTTCACTTCAGTTTTTGTCATGTATAAAAGCCGTGTGTCGAGACTGAAGATCATCCACTATCTTGTCTTCTATATCTACACCTTTCTCTACTTCTTCCTCTGATAGCAATATCTTGGTTTCTGAGTCTTTGGTTAGAATAACCACAAAGGACCGTCGTGACTCAATGCTATTAGCTATCACCACTTGATGTCGATAAACTTCCAAAGCATTCCGTGCACGATCAAGTATGATGGAAGGGTCAGTCTCCAACTTAAAGGAAATTATAAATGCTTTGGGAGCCCAGTCTTTAACCAAAGGAGAAAGCATTTTTGGCACCATCTTCATTGTTATCTGTATTGGAAAAAGAAAAGCTTAATAAGCAAACAAAGCTCAGTATCTACCAGGTCAATCTCATGGGAAACTAAGGAAGCAAGGACTCAGATTTTTTGGCTAAGTCAGTTTAAGTGGTATTTCTCATTGTCAAACTTTTCAAAGCATTTATACATGCTTGGCTTAAAAGCCTTGGTTCTAGAGGGTTCATAAAGATACCTAATTCCAAGGCTTTATACAAATCCTGGGACAAGCCATGAATTAACCTTGCCCTACCACCCTCATTACCATTAACAGAGCTCTAGAAAAAGAGCATTATATTTTATTAAACATTCCCCTCATTTTACCAAACACTCCAATAAACAAATGCAAATAATCTGTTCATGCAAATCTATAACCCAAATGTAACTTTGGCAGAAATTTAATTAAAGTTGGGTTTTTAAACCTCTGCCTAAAATATTTCTTGCACCGGTAGAACGGCTATTTGACTCCGCTTAAACACTGTCACTCGTAACACATCTTAGCGCTGAAGAAACAGAACTGATTTTTATTTTCATTTGATCAAAACTCCCACTATGCCATTCTTGATCCCTTCTAAGAATGTTGAGTCGGTTTGTGTATTTTCAAGGAAGAACCGAAAAATACAGGATACACCAAAGCTCCCAGATTTTTAAAAGTGTGAATTTACTACGATAATTATCAGGATTTCCCCCTCAGAAAGTTAGCATAGGGATTACACATACATTCCCCACTTAATTTTTCTGCTTAGCATTTTCCACTATCTAACATAGTATGCATTTGGCTTATTTATGGTCTCCTCGGCAAAGGAGAAGCAACACAGGGGCACAGTGTATTTCTTTACACTGCTTTATCTCCAAGTCCTGCTATAGTATTTGGCATATAGAGGGTACTCAATAAATTATTTGTTGAACAAATGAACAGCAAGTGCCCCACAGGCAGAGTTTCTCCTTTTAAATTCTGCTTGTATCATAAATGATTAAGAATTCTCTCAGGTTCCAAGAAGCCAGATCATCTCAACATCTGAACCACACCACTAGCCACCCCATACCCCTTCCTCAAACTACAGCCACCATGGTTATCTTACACCCACTGCTCTCTCCCTAATTTACCTTTCCTATTGATGCCAGAATGTTCTTTTCAAACAAGAATTTTTGTCTCATTCTCCTACTTGTTTTCCTTAGCTCCACAGGATAAAGTTCCTTAAGAGGGAATACAAAATCTTCTGCGAAGTAAGCTCTCTTCAGTCTCCCCACCCCCTGCCCAGCTCCCCACTCTCCCTGCTCTCCAGCCTTACCAAAGAATTTCAGTTCACCGCACACTGCTCATTTCCAAACTTCAATCTGTACTCAATCTGTAATGACCTTCCCTACTTTGTCTGGTATACTCTCTACTCATCTTTTAAAACCCAGTTATGTCATCTCTTCCAGGAAGCCTTCCTTGACTTCCCCAAGATTCACTCACCCCATGCTCTGACTTCACTTTGTACGTACCTCTACTAGAGCATTTATCACTCTGTACTGTAATTATGTCTGTGTCCAGCTCCCTCACTAGAGTGTGAGGTTCTTGAGGGAGGGCGGTGTCTTATTCATCTCTGTATCCCTAGTGCCTAGCACATACGGAATGCAGAAAGGCCATCTCCAGATCAAGAGGGAATTAACCCAAGATTGATTATAGGGGGATCAGATCTCTGGAAGAGAAGCGCCTGTCACCTGCAGTGGGCCCCCAGATGACTGGATCTTGTGTTCAGGCATTTCTGAGACAGGAACATAGAAATCTGACACGGCCGCAGCCAGGTAAAACATCGCAGAAGAGCCTGCAGAGAGAAGCACAGGGTGTAATAAATCGGAGTGGGATATGGGATCGGGTCCTTTTCAACTCAGGCTCCCTTGGCTGTGAGACCGCGGATAATGAAAAGGTGAGGGGAAAAGTGTCTGGGGGAGAAAGGCTCTGCCTGCAGGAAACCTTGGACGCCTAGAGCACGCACCCAGCGGATTGAGCGCCTGGGCCGCAGCCTGCAGCAGATGCAAATAGTCCGCCAAAGTGGAGAACTCCACGGCAAGGAAGGTGCCGGCAGCCGCAGCCTCCTGGTAGCTCCGCAGAGCGGCCGCGAAGCCCGGAAGTGCATTCTCCTCGGCCTCCAGGCTCAGCAAGCCCGAAGGGGTTGAACCGCTGGGCCGCAACGCCGACAACCAGGTCTGGGGCGGGAAGCGGTGGGCAAAAGGGAAGGCGGAGCGAGCGCGGTACAGGAACAGGACCCCGTAGCCCGCGGCCAGGAAGGCCTCGGCCGAGGTGGCACCGCGCCGCCCGCTGCTGAAGTTGTCCAGGAAGCGCACTGGTCGGGCTTCCAGGGGGACCTTGGTGCCGCCGGACGTGATCAACACCACCCGCCGGCCCTGCGCGCCCAGCCTGGCGGCGAAGCGAGCCATAACCTCGGCGTAGCGCGCAGCTCCCGCAGGCTTGGGGAACTCGGCGACCAGGTCCACTTCCGCCATCAGTCCCTGGGCGCGCCCCACACTGGCGCACACTCTACCGCCACCGGCGCCGCGCCCCAGCCCGGCTCCAGGTCCCCGCGCAGCCGCAATAGCGAGGGGGCGGACCTTTACCTTACGCCGCACGCCGGCGCCAGCCTTCTCCGCGTCGGGGGAGGCGTGCCGGTTTCGACCCACAGCGCGGCAGAGGTGACCCTGAGCTAGCGGGACTTGTGGGCGGGCAGGCATCTGGAAGAGTCACATCCCCTCATGTTAGTTTCCTCCTCCGGTAACGAACTGTCCTGTTTGCCTCAAACCGGCCACCGTATAGGCCTTCCTGGACTTTGATTCCACTAGAGTCAGATTGCCCGGCCATTTAACCTTCGGGACTTAACGGGGGGGAGTTTTGTGGTTTTTTTTTTTTTTTAATTATTATTATTTTTTAACCCCACAAATACACTCTAGATGTCAGTGGAACTGCGCTTCTCCCCCCTGAGCTTGAATTCCTGGGAACGAGGCTGCCCGGTAGTGGTCACGTGACGCCGGCGTCCGGCGTGTCCTCTCCAGGCAACCGTCCTGGGGACCGAAGACGCCGCTGGCTGCAACATGGACATCATCTGCCCGCTGGCGGTGCCCAAGGGGCGCCGGCTCTGCTGCGAAGTGTGCGAAGCCCCGGCCGAGCGCGTGTGCACGGCCTGCACGGTCACTTATTACTGGTAGGCCCTGAAATGTGGCACGTGGGCCCCTCAACTCCCTCCCTCTCTCCCCATTACAGGTCTGGGTGCCCTGCGTAAGCCGTAGCACCAGCTCTGCCAGGGAACACTCAAGGCGGTTTCAAGACAGGTCCCCAAGACTTCTGTGTGTGCCTCTTCTCCCACTCATTCATTCGTCCCCAGATGTTTTGTTGACCGCCTACTGTGCGCAATGCACTGTTCTAGAAGCTGAAGTTACTAGTGGAAACTTGGTGGACTGTGTCCCTCAAAGATCTAACATACTAATGCGGAAGATAGATAAACAAAAAGAAAACCAGATAATTTCAGAGAGTCATAAATGCCATAAAGACAAAGGAAATGTGATGGGAAGTAGGGCAGACAGCCTCTTGGAGGGTAGATACTGATGTGAACATAAAGTAGGAGCAGTCCACCGTGGAAATGCTGGGCTCTGAGGGTGTAAAGACTGTGGTGTGTTTGAGAAATAGAAACCAGGCCAGTTTGTCTGGTGCACAGCCAAGATGGTGAGAGTGTGGGGAGGGTAGTAGAAAATGAGATGAGATTTCATTCGTTCAACATAACATCCCCTGATCTTTGCTTCCAGTTAGACCTATGTTGGACCTGAGATAAAACTGCTAGCTGGCAGATGGCCAGAAACCTAGTCCAGCAAACTAACTTGTTTTAAAAAGTCATTATAATAGACTCAGCATGACAAGTACTGTCACTCAAGGTGCGCTGTTTCCTGGGACCTCTAAGGATGGAAGCCTTGTGGCTGGGGGCAGTATCTGGAAAGGTTTCTCTGAGTAAATAATGTTTGCGATGACCCTTGAAAGGTCAGTAGGAAATTGCTAGGTGAATGAACAATGAAGACGGAAGGGCAGGGTACTCCTGGCATCCAGGTCTACTTGGGTAAAAGCTGAAAGAACAGAGTTTATTCAGAGCCGGGTAGAGAAGGTAGTGGAGGAAGCAGTTGCTGATTTTCACATTGCAGACTAGACCCATTAGCAGATCATGGATAAATCACAACCAGCATTTTAAGGAAAATGCACTTTTTTAAGGAAGAAAGTAGAATAACATAGAAAGTATCAGAGTAACCCTACTTGAATTGTTTCTTGAAAATTTTTAGCATTTTATGTGGATATGTGTGTTTGTAATGGTAAAATGTATTTCTTACTAAAAAGAACGTTTAAAAATGATTGTGGTAGGTAGTAGTAGGAGTTTAAACCAAGAAGATACAGGTTAGGGCCAGATGGTGACATGAGATGGAGAAGTTTGGAATTTATCCTCTGGGATGGCATGGATCGTTTTGACGGGCTCTCCCTTGTGTTAAGGAAGGATGACAGTAGCAGTGTGGAAGATAAATTGGAAGGTAGACCCTGGAGGCCGCATCACTGATTAAGAAGTTGTTGCAGTTGGGGCGCCTGGGTGGCTCAGTCATTTAAGCATCTAACTTCAGCTCAGGTCATGATCTTGCAGTCAGTGAGTTTGAGCCCCTCATCGGGCTCTTTGCTGACAGTTCAGAGCCTGGAGCCTGCTTCGGATTCTGTTTCTCTCTCTCTGTCTCTCTGCCCCTTCCCTGCTCACACTCTGTCTCTCAAAAAGGAATAAATGTTAAAAAAAAAAAAGAAGAAGGGGCGCCTGGGTGGCGCAGTCGGTTAAGCGTCCGACTTCAGCCAGGTCACGATCTCGCGGTCCGTGAGTTCGAGCCCCGCGTCGGGCTCTGGGCTGATGGCTCAGAGCCTGGAGCCTGTTTCCGATTCTGTGTCTCCCTCTCTCTCTGCCCCTCCCCCGTTCATGCTCTGTCTCTCTCTGTCCCAAAAATAAATAAACGTTGAAAAAAAAAAAATTAAAAAAAAAAAAAAAAGAAGAAGAAGAAGTTGTTGCAGTGATCCTAGTAGAAAGTGAATCTACCTCTCTCAGACTGAATTAGGTGTTCCTCCTCAGTGCTCTCGCAGCACTCTATATGTTTCCTAGCCTAAAATTTAGGACACAGATTGACATCAGTTGTTTAATAGTCCATATTCCTCACTAGGTCTGTATATCCCATGAGGGAAGGGACGGCATCTGTGTTTTTCTTGCAGTGTCTTCATTGCCTTTAGAATACAATTCAGGATTTGTAGCAAAAACTACAAAGCCCTGGTCATTTCTCTACCTTCATTTCTCACTACACTCACCCTCTCTTCTCCTTGATGTAGTTACCGAGGTTTTCTTCAGGTCTAGTTTGCCAAGTCCTTTCCTCCCTCAGTTTCTTTGCCTGGACTGTTTTCTCTACTAGGAACGTCCTCTTCAGCCACAAGCTCCCTCTCATCCTTCAGTCCTCAGGAATGTTATTTCTTCAAAGAGGTCTTTCTGGAAGTACTCCTCTCTGAGTTTTCTCGCTCACCTTTTTCTTCGTTTTTCCTGTACTTCTGTATTTCGTGTTTACTTGTTTAGTATCTGTGTCTCTTACTAAACCTACTGGCTGCACATACCGCACACTCAGTGATCATTTGTTGAATAAGCGAGCTTCTGAGTGGATAGTAAACCTATTAACACAGAAGGAGGTGGTGGGGGGTGACAGATTGGGTAGGGGATACACAGTTTGAGGGCCTTCAGGTCCCTTGGGAGAGATGGCTAGTAAACCACTTCAAGTACAGGCCTGGCACTCAGGGGAGAGAGGAGAGCCTCTACCTGATATGAGCATCTACTTCTTTCCCTCTTGCCTTCATCCCTGCAGCCAGAAGTAATTCCTTCTTCCTCTCAACTCACTTTGTCGTCACTCTCTACTCTCAGATGACTCTTACTTCCCTTCTTCATTTTAGTTGTTGACACGTGTGCTATCTCAATTTTATTATGTTCCATTAATGCAGGATATTATGTTGAATATGTGTAGAAGGACTATCCTGCAAATGCTGTCTTTTGATCTGTGTCAAACCCATCTGTATATACCTTACAGTCTCTTGCAGAGTGTCGTGAAACAGTCAGAACTAAATATGTGATGAATGCATGAATAAGTTATTATTTCCTATGCCCCTATCCACCATTAGTTCCTTTCTCTTCTTTCACTGCCTTTAATTCTCTGTAAGGTGTTCTCCTCTCCCCTCCACCTTCTTTTCTTCAGATTTCTCTATGCTTGTGTCCTGGAGATTTTAAGATTTTTCCATAAAATAAAGCTGAGTTAATTGTTCTGCATCTCAGAAATGGGGGCTTTAATACTCCTCCCTCACCAGGTTTTGTGGTTGAGTGCAAAGCATGTAGCATCGTGCCTGAAACCAAACTGACACTCAGTAAATATTCTTTTCCTTCATTCCAAATTTAAGGAGCCAGAAGGACAGTAAACTTGAATTTGTGAAAGTTTTTTTTTCCTCTTTTTTTGCAAAAGAGTTTTTTTCTTTTAAAATGTTTTAAAATGTTTATTTATTTTTGAGAGAGTGAGAGACAGAGGGTGATCAGGGGAGGGGCAGAGACAGCCGGAGACACAGAACTGGAAGCAGGCTCCAGGCTTTGAGCTGTCAGCGCAAAGCCCGATGCAGGGCTTGAACTCATGAACTGTGAGATCATGACCTGAGCCGAAGTTGGATGCTCAACTGACTGAGCCACCCAGGCACCCCAAAAGATTTTTTTTCCCTAATTATTAATGTAACTCATGCTTACTATAGAGAATTTGAAAATATAAAAAATAAAGAAGAAAAATAATCTATAATCTCACAATTTAGAGATTAATAGTCTGATATTTTGGTCAACTTCTTTATACTCTTTTCCTATAAACACATCTGTTTTATACACTCTGTTAATCTTGCACATATTGTTCTATATTGGATTATGAGAATATAGCCAGGAAACAGAACATTTGTAAGAAAAGGCAATTTTATTAAAGTACACACTGAAACATTACAGAAAGTTACAAGAGGCTTTAGTACTGTAAGTTAACAAATCATTGCATATAGATAAGAGTGATTTGCAATAAGTTTTATTTAACATGTGGGGCACAAATTAAAATGTTTTCACTGATCAGGAAAAGAAAATGAATAGTGAAGTGGCATTCAATAGTAGGAGACAGTATGATCTGTGGTAAACTGCAGAATGAGTGTCCTGCCTAATGTCTTCCAAATTTAGTCTAAAAAACATGGTAATGGTTGGGGGGCTGGGATGGCTTCATCGGTTAAGTGTTCAACTCTTAGATTCAGTTCAGGTCACAATCTCATGGTTTGGTGAATTCAAGCCTTACATTGGGCTCTGTGCTGACAGCGTGGAGCCTGCTTGGGATTCTCTCTCTCCCTCTCTCTCTCTGCCCCTCCCCTACTTATGCTGTCTCTGTCTCTCTTAAATAAATAAACTTAAAAAAAATTAAACAAACTTATTAAAACACAAAACAAAACATGATATTGGCCAAAAAATGTCTAGCTCACAGGCTACTTGATTGTGAGCCCTGATTGAAAATATATTTTCAACTCCTTTATGCATGACTCTGTGCTGGGTATTAGGGATTAGACAGATGAATAAGAAAAAGAACTCATGAATATATAAATAATGCTCATTTTATTTGGAAAGGCTAGATATGTCAAATGCTCTCAGTGGAACAAAAATTCAGGCAGCTAAGTAAATTAATATTTCCATTGCTCACACGATTATTCAAAAAGTCCCTATTTAATAAATATCCTATGGAACTCAACTGTTTCTGTATCCTGGCTGTTAAGTGCTTTAATTGATTTGTTTACAGTAATTCTCTCTAAATTTTTTTAAGTGCTTTATGTCATTTCTATGATAGCAGTTACAGTTTAAAGAGAAAATACTTCATTGCATTTCCGTTGTCCCAGAAGGAAAGAAGGAGAGAGAGTTTGAACAAAGCTATGTGTTGTCTATGACTGTTTTTGTGCTACCACAAGAGTTGAATTTTTACAACAGAGACCATGTAGCTCTCAAAGCCTAAAATATTTGGCCCTTTACAGACAAACTTTGCTGACCCTGTGCTAGGTTATTGTTACCAGTTTTGGAATATGTATAAATGGAATCAGTTAACTTAGACA